ATTTATAATGTCCTACACCCAGTTAAGAGCTTCCCTGGTGGCTCAGAGGTAAAGAATCTGCCTACAAAGCAGGAGAGGCAGGTTTGACCCCTGGGTCAAGAAGATCCCCTGGAGGAGGGCATGGCAACCTACTCCATGGGGTTGTAGGAGTCGGATATGACTTAGTGACTGAAACACCATACCATCCAATTAAGAAAATTTCTAGACATGCCAAGAATCAGGAAAATGTGTCTCATTAGCAGAAGAATGATGGTCAGTAGAAGAACTATTAATAGAACTGGTAGAAAGGGTGAAATTACCAAAAAAGTACTTTGTATATTTTTGTGCTCTAGGATTCAAGAAATTAAAGGAAAAAATTTAAAAAAAAAATAAAGAAGACACTGTCAGAAGTTATCTGATGATACTAAAAGCAGATTAGATACTGCATTAAAGAAAAACACACTTGAAGAATATCAACAGGGATTATCCAAAATCCCTGCAGAGACAGGGTTTCCCTGATGTGATAGCTCAACCACAAAGAACCCAGTTGCATTGCAGGAGACACAGGAGATGTGAATTCGATTCCTGGATTGAGAGGATCCCCTGGAGCAGGAAATGTCAACTCACTCCAGTGATCTTGCCTGGGAAATCCCATGGACAGAGGAGCCTGGCGGGCTACAGTCCAAAGGTTAGCAAAGAGTCAGACATGACCGAGCACAGCCTGGAGTGCAGAAACGAAAAATAGATTAGTGGCTCCTAGTGTGTAGGACAAGGGATAGTGAGAAGAGACAGTTAGTAGGTACTAAGTGTCTAACAGTAAAATAATGTGTGATGGGCAAAATTTAATAAAGCTTATTGTAATGTCCATAAGAAGGGCAAGTTACTAAGTTACTAATGAGAATTCTACCAAACATGCCACTGGACTACTAACAATTATTTCTATATTGAAGAGACACTAATACAGTGTCAAGCTACAATATTTTTCTGGTTAAAAAAAAAAACAGTGTATGATTATGACTGATCGACATTTTCTGCAGCTAAATGCTAATTTACACCATTTATATAAGTTGCTGTGAGAATGTATTTTGGACTAGGTACAGCTTTTGTTAGGTTTAAAATAACATAGTAATGAATAAAAATCTATACTACTCACCACGTGGTGAATGAGTTCTGATCATGTACTAGTTCTCACATTATAATTAGCCTACACTTTAACAGTTTCCATTTACTGCCTGAGTGTATGCATCAGTAGATTTATCACAATAAATATCTATCACAATAAATATCACAATATATCTCCTTGACCTTAATGTCAAGGAGACTTGCACGTGTAATATAGTTACATTTTTTTTAATTAATTAAATGTAAATACAGCTTAGGTATATTTACTCTGTGGAATAGAAACAATACCAGAAGTTACATATGTATTAGTATGAATATATGTATTTTTATTTCATACAAATAACTTTAAAGGCAATCTTTATGTAGCATGATCCCTATACATAGAATTGGGTTTCCTAGGTGGCTCAGCTGCAAAGAATCTGCCTCCCAATGCAGGAGCTGCAGGAGACACAGGTTCCATCCCTGGGTCAGGAAGATTTTCCTGGAGGAAGAAATGGAAACCCACTCCAGTATTTTTGCCTGGGAAATCCCATAGACAGAGGAGTCTGCTGGACTACAGTCCATGGGGTCACGAAGAGTTGGACACAGTGAGCAACTAAGCATGCAGCAGAACATACCTCGAATTAGGCAAAAATGAAGATTTGGAGGAAGTCAACATTATCTGTCAAAAACAAAGGAAGTTTGATCCTAATTCTCTAGGAAATCGCCAGATGACAGAGAACTAAAAATTATAGTTTAATTTCATGCATTTTTACCAGTATTTCTAGATTTCCTAAAATTACTCAAGGATTAATTTTTGTATTAACAAGAATATAATTCTACTCTGTACTATTTCCCTATGAGACTGTTACCTTTCAGTTAAGGTCACCATAAAAACAGAAAATAGGTTTATATTCACCTGACCTGCATAAAATGTTAATAGGCCCCAAGGCCAGAAGATAATGTACAAGGCCCTCATAAACAAAGAAGTATGCAGAAAACACCCTGGTTTCCTGAAGGACAAGCTGATGTAATGTTAAACTATCTTCCCCTTAGAAATGTACTAACTTAGGGTATAAAAGCCATGGTAAAAAATAAAGCATTGCCAGACTCTGCCAGACTTTGCACCCTCCGTCTGGTCATTCTCTCTCTCTCTCTCTCTCTCTCCCTCGCAGACTTGGCCCTATCAAGGCTAGTCTCACGTGTCTTCTCTCTCTCTCTCGCTGATGCCGTTCATCCTGAGGGTACCCCCTGGATCCTGCCGAGGCTGGATCCCAGCAAGGAACCTATGTAGAAAAAGAGCACTAAAACTCTGCATAGCAATTGCTCTGAGTCTTCCCAGAATACTTGATTGCATATGTGTACAATGAAAGTTTATGAGACTAGGAAAAAATGATAGGGTGATGGTATAAGCTAGAAAATTCTCAGATATTACACGAGGTGCTGCATGCTCAGTCATGCATGTGTGTGTGTGTGTGTGTGTGTGTGTGTGTGTATTATGCAAACAAGGGGATCAGATAATCAGGAGTGATATATACCCATTAAAACAATGAGATTAGTGAAAGTTGATTGTCTAAGTTTTAGCCCTTTGCCCAGTTACTTTGCCAAAAGCATAGGTATTAATCGAACCAAGTATAAAAAGTGTGTGGAGATCAGCCAGATAACTTATTAACTCTTAAATTGAGCCATCAGTCTGTTCAAAGGATAAGTAGGCCAATCTGAGAATGTATCAACTGCCTAATTACTCAGACTAACTATATTAATCATCTAAAATATGTTCATGAGAAACTGATAATGTCTAACCTTGTGGATTTGCAATGACCTTAGTTCAATGAGAAAATGAAATCCATGTATGATTCACTGAATCAGACAGAATAGGACTTCTTAAAGCACATGTATAGATAAAGCGCATTTATAGACTTTTTAAAGCACATGTAGACCAAAAATTGGTGAGATGAAATGAGTTTTAAAATATTTAATCATCAAGGTCTTGGCCCAAATAAACAGTATTAGATATATCTGCATTACAAGGTAATGAATGAGGAGGTTATTACTTGGAGTTTTTTTCTTCAGAACTCTATATATATTGATTTAAAGGGCCTGTTATACTCCAGACATTAATACTGTTGTTGTTTACTTGCTGTCATGTCGCACTCCTTTGCAACCCCATGGACTGTACCTGCCAGNTGGCTTGCCATTTCCTTCTCCAGGGGATCTTCCCAACCCAGGGATCGAACCCAGGTCTCCCACATTGCGGGCAGACGCTTTACCATCTGAGCCACCAGGGAATCCCTGGGAAGTAATGAATGAAGAGGTTATTACTTCATGATTTCTTTCTTCAAAACTCTTGTGTACATTGATATGCATATGTGTGCTCACATGTGTGTGTGTACATGTGCATCTTGAAAGCTACATATTTAAGTACATAATCACTTTTACCAGAAACATGTATTAATTTCAGATGAATTCAATACATTTATTTAAAGCGCCTGCCATATGCCAGACATTAATATTGTTGTTTAGTTGCTGTTCTTTCCAACTCCTTTGCAACCCCACGGACTGTAGCCCACCAGGTTCCTCTGTTCATGGGATTCTCCAGGCAATAATACTGGAGTAGGTTGCCATTTTTCTCCTCCAGAGGATCTTTACAACTCAGGGATCAAACCACATCTACTAAACTGGCAAATGATTCTATACCACTGACTCACCAGGGAAGTCTAGCATTCATATTACATGGTGGTAAACTATGGGTGAAAAAGAAGTCTCTTGAGGACAGAAATAGAAAAGTACATAATAAGAAGAACATGCAAAATAATTTGTATATCCTATTTTTAACTCACATATACAAGCAATATTCATTAAGAGTCAGAGAATATTCAACACCGGGCTAAAGTTTACTGTATACCGGCCACAGACAGAATGGGAAGACTGCAGCAGACTGGAAGCCCAGGGGCTCCAGCTGAAACTTCTCTGCCACTTCAGCCACATGAGCCTGCAGATCTTACGGAGCTCAAAACATTATTGGCAGATATAGATATTGTTCAGTGCCACTGGCAGGTCCCTATAGGTGAATCACATCTCCCACTCTTACGGTTTTGGAACAAAGCCCAGATATCATCTGTGGAAAGCTAGTGTCCTTTTGAACATAGCTTTTGGCTTGTTTCTGGGTCTTGGGAAAGACTAAAGCTTAATTGTGGGCCACTGAGTTACCATGCATCTTGAGCCATCCATGAGAGGCAAGGTTTTCAACCTAGCAAGGCATAAAGTCAGGCATGTATGACAGTGCTCCATTATCAAGTGGAAGTGGTTTGGAGGAGATGGGGCTTGAGCAGGTGCTGAGGGAAAAAGTAGGCTGTGTGAGGAAGTAGCTCAAATGCCCATGGCTTCCACTTATATATCATATTCTTGAGCCCAATAAAGACAGTACTGCATGGTATGATGGAAAAGGCAATGGCACCCCACTCCAGGACTCTTGCCTGGAAAATCCCATGGATGGAGGAGCCTGGTGGGCTGCAGTCCATGAGGTCACCAAGAGTCAGACCCTGACTGAGCGACTTCACTTTCACTTTTCACTTTCATGCACTGAAGAAGGAGATGGCAACCCACTCCAGTGTTCTTGCCTGGAGAATCCCAGGGACGGGGGAGCCTGGTGGGCTGCCGTCTGTGGGGTTGTAGAGAGTCAGACACGACTGAAGTGACTTAGCAGCATGGGATGAAGAGACCACCCAAAGCTGACAGCTGTGGCCATCTAGTTTCTGTCTGGGGGCATCTGGAAAGGACAGGGGTGAATGGAGACTCTCCCCGTAGGCAGGTAACAGAGCGCACCAAGTGCAGCCCTTCACTTGGCTGTGGCTGGGAGCTACTGCTCTGCACCCTGTTACCAGGCAACCAGTCCCACTCAGCCATTTGCAATGGGCCCCTCCCCCAAGCAAGCAACTGTCAGTGAGTGACCGTTAGTGGGGACACTCAGCCAAGGTCAGTGGAGCAGTGATCATCAGGCAGACAGTGAGGTAAGAGTTGGACCCCGGCCTTCTCCGCAGGGCCCTCCAGTTCATCCAGCCTCGGGCCAGCGGGTGATCTGGGGGCCCAGGGGCCAGGAGGGAGGCTGTGTCCTGCTGTTCTCCGGAGCCCTCAGTGTGGGACCCCACTGGCCGGGCCCCGGCCTTGAGGCAGCGGTGACCCTCTCCCCGCCCCTGCCTCCTCATGGCAGCTGTCTGCCTGGGACGCCATCTGCAGGACCTGCCCCGTCCCCCCGCATGGGCTGCCTGAGGAGCCTGCGGGCCGGTTGGCTTGGGTGCCCGGCTCCCTCAGCCTTGATGGCGGAGCAGGGCCTGAGGACTGGCCCTGAGGGCGCCGCCAGCTGAGCTCTAACTCAGCCAGGACTGGACTTTGGAGGGGGAAAGTTGTGCCTCATCCTGCCCTTTTTTGTCAGAACAGAGAATAACACTCATTAGGTATTTATAGGAACACAGTTACCTGTCCATGACCTGACCTCCAGAACAAGGGCTCTGACACCAAGATATTTACACCTGACCACATCATGATTGTTTTTTCCGGGCTATATGCTTTGCCAGCTTCCTCTTGTTCATTCAGTCATCACAAATGTGTTAACCAATCCCTTTTAATAAATATTGTTTCTTTTATTGAATTTCTGTGCACAAAAGGAATACATGATATTAGAGACTATTTCTAACACAACATAAAGCATTTTTGTTACATTTATTTTTACTACAGTTTTTACAACTGATGGACCAGTGTTGTAAATTAAGTAAGCCCCATCATTTATGTTAGGGTTCACTCTTCATGTGGTACAGCTCTATGGGTTTTGACAAATGCCAGTGACTATATGGATAGGTTATCACCCTAAAGATCCCTGTGCTTCACTTATTCAAGCCTGTTTCCCCTCCCCTTCCACCAAACTCTTCCACCAAACTTCTGGCAAGCCCTGATCTTTTTAACACCTGTAGAGGTTTGCCTTTTCCAGAATGTCATAGAGATGAAAGTATCCATTTATTCAGGCTTTTGAGAATGACTTCTTTCACTTAGCGATATCTCTTTAAGCCTTCTCTGTTTATTTCAAGGCTCAATAACTCATTTCTTTCTATTGCCAAATAATAATCTATTGTATGAATGCATCAAAGTTTATTCACTTATTGAAGGACAACTTGATTACTTCCAATTTTTGCAGTTATGAATTAAGTTGCTCTAAACATCGGTGTGGAGGCGTTCATGTTTTCAGTGTATTTGGATAATTAAGTAGGAGTGTGATTGCTAGATGATGTGGTAGGTAACCTATATTTAGCTTCGTAAGAAACCTGCAAAGTGCTTGTACCATTTTCCATTCCAACAGCAGTTAATAAATTGAGTTCCTGTTGCTCTATATCTTCACCAGTATTTGGTGTTTTCTGTTTTTTGGAGTTTAGCCATTCTGATAACTCCACGTGGTATCTCATTTAAACAGAAATTCATTTTTAATTCTTTCTTATTTTATTTTAGACCTTATCTTTGTATTTATTTATTTAGTACTGTAGCTATAGTCTAGTACCTGAAAACTTTTATCCTAGAGCCAGGTTTCTTAGATTCAAATTCCAACTTGACCTTTTACTCCTTGGGTGACATAGGCTAATTACTTAACAACTGTTTCCATAAGAATCCAGATGCAATGCAGGAGACCTGGATTCTATCCCTGGGTCCAGAAGATCCCCTGGAGAAGGGAGTGGCAACCCACTCCATTATTCTTCTTTGGAGAATTCCATGAACAGAAGTATCAGTCCACGGGGTCAAAAAGAATTGGACAGACCTGAGTGACTTACACTTTTTTCAGTAGCCTTGCAGATAGTTGTTACGGTAATTAAGGTAGATTATCATAGAACATATAAATAACAATAAGAGAATCTGGCCTATACTAAATTCTTTTAATCTTTAAATGTATAAACTAACTTCATTTTTTATCAAGAGGAAACAATTTAGAATGTAAATAATTCAAAATATTGATAGAGACTGAGCAACTTCACTCACTCACTCAGTGGTAATTACTTGAATTTTAAATTAAATTTTAGAAAAACTCATTCACATAATAATAGCGTTACTCCATTGACGCATTACTACCATATATGGCTACCACTACAGTAGTTAAATTTTAACCCAGTAACTTCACAGATGTAGGTCTTTTCATAAATCTTTAATATTGAGAAGTTTTCCTCTACTGATTTTCCTCAGATGGAGACAGTGCTGAGACGAATGGCCCAAGCTCCTGACCACCTAAGTGGAAAAGTCAAACTGAGAACCTAGGGGTGGTCCCAACGTGGCTGCTCTGGATCCCTGACCTGCATTTTCACTCAGCCATGAGAACCTCAGACATGGAACAAGGGGATCCCTGCATCTACATCCATGCCTGGAGGTATTAGCAGCTCCAGAGGTCCAGATCCTGCCCATCATTATAAGGTAGCCTCAATGGTCACAGAACCCAGGGCACCTCCAGGTGGATTAACAGTCAACTTTGGCACAGCTATTAGAGTGAAAAATACCTTGGGACTCACATCCTCCTGGCCAGCTCACACATTCTGAGAGTTGTGTGGCCTCGTGTAGACAATATAGCTCATATCTGTTGGTGCTAGTGTCATTGCTTCAAAAAGGACAAAAGCAGATAACGATCAGGGAGATATTTCACTGTACTGGGTGACACGACCGTAAGCCTTACATTGATTAAACCCTGTTGCACATTCTCAAGGGAAGGTGTCAAACACATCTCACAGTGGCGCTTGGTAGTTAGCCTAGCGACCATGACTCCTGTTCTAACTCTGCTGCACAGCTGGGTCAGAGGCAGCACCCATCCCAGGGCTCCTCTCCACGGAGCTCTCCCACTAAATATATGACTTCTGTGAGTGCGACAGCCACTGACTCAGTGGACATGCACACATTGTTTGGAAAAGGAAGGCTTGGAAAAAAGCACCACATGACAANCATTCTGTTAATTTTGAGACTGCACCCAAGTAGTGCATTTTGGATTCTTTGGTTGATTATGAGGGCTACTCCATTTCTTCAAAGAGATTCTTGACCACAGTTGTAGATATAGTGATCCTCTGAATTAAATTTGCTCATTCAGGTCCATTTTGGTTCACTGATTCCTAAAATGTCGATGCTTACTCTTGCCATCTCCTGTTTGACCACTTCCAATTTACCTTGATTCATGGACCTAACATTCCAGGTTCCTATGCAGTTTTGTTCTTTACAGCACCAGACTTTACTTTCATCACCAGTCACATCCACAACTGGGTGTTGTTTTTGCTTTAGGATAAGCCTCTTCATTCTTTCTTCTGTCTCTGCTCTCATGGCTCAGACGGTAAAGTGTCTGCCTACAATGCAAGAGACCCTGGTTCGACCCCTGGGTTGGGAAGATCCCCTGGAGAAGGAAATGACAACCCATTTCAGTACTCTTGCCTGGAAAATCCCATGGACAGAGGAGCCTGGCAGGCTCCATGGGGTCGCAAAGAGTCGGACATGACTGAGTGACTTCATTTTTCTTTCTTTCTTCATTCTTTCTGGAGCTATTTCTCCACTCTTCTCCAGTAGCATATACCTTTTTGCCTTTTCATACTGTTCTTAGGGTTCTCAAGGCAAGAACACTGAAGTGGTTTGCCATTCCCTTCTCCAGCAGACCACGTTTTGTCAGAATTCTCTGCCAAGACCCATCTGTCTTGGCTGGCCATGCTTGGCATGGCTTATAGTTTCATTGAGTGAGACAAGGATGTGATCTATATGATCAATTTGGTTAGTTTTCTATGATTGTGGTTTTCATTCTGTCTGCACTTTTATGGGTAAGGAAAAGAGGCACAAGGAAGCTTTCTGATGGGAGGGACTGGCTATGGGGGCATCTGGGTCTTGCTTTGACAGGTTGGGCCATGCTCAGTAAATCTTTAATTTTCTGTTGATGGGTGGGGTTGTGTTCCCTCCCTGTAGTTTGGCCTGAGGCCAAACTATGGTAGGGATAATGACAGTAATGAAGACCTCCTTCCAAAGGACTTATGCTAGCAAGCTCCAGCTCCCAGGGTTGTTTTATTCAGTACCCCTGACCCTGCCCATGGCAAGCTACTGCTGAACCACACCCCTGCTTGGAGACTCCTGGACACTCACAGGCAAGTCTGGCTCAGTCTCTTGGGGGTCATTGCTCCTTTCTCCTGGGTCCTGGTGGGCACAAGGTTTTATTTGTGCCCTCCAAGAATCTGTTTCTCCACTCCTGTGGAAGTTCTGTAGTCAAATCCCACTGGCCTTCAAATTTAAATTCCCTAGGGGGGTCTCAGTACCTTAGAACTTTTGCAGCAGTGTGAAAACCTTTTGGTATAACTGTTCTCCAGTTTGTGGGTCGTCTTCTTGGCAGGTCTATGGTGGGGCTAATGGTGACCTCCTGCAAGAAGACTTTTTGCCACACACCGTGCCTCCCGGGTCTGCAGCAGCCAGAGACCCTGTCTCCATGGAAGGCCTTTGCTGATCCATGCCTCTGCAGGAGGCACTCAAACCCTTAAAGGCAGCTCTGGCTCAGTCTCTTGTGGGGTCCCTGGGTCCTGGTGCACACAAGGTTTAGTTTGAGCACTCTGAGCTACTCTGGCGGGTATGGGGTTTGATTCTAAACGTGATATTGCACCCCCTCCCATCTCACTGGGACTTCTCCTTTGCCCTTGGATGTGGGGTATCTATTCTAGGTGGGGGCCAACATTCTCCTATTGATAGTTGTTTAGCAGTGAGTTGCAATTTTGGAATTTTCTCAGGAGAAGATGAGTAAACGTGCTTCTACTCTGCCATCTTGAATCATTGTGTTGAATCAGCATGTGTTTTAGCATTTCTTTTTTCTGATCTGTTAGGTTCCCATTCATTAAAGTGCAGAAGCTCTGTTTCATTTCTTTCCTGTTCCTCTCCTTTACTCTCCTTCATCCAGCAAAGAGTGTGATTTAGCGGCAGCTCAGTCATAGTCACTAACCTCCCACATGCGTACACTCCACCCCATGTCCCCAAAAGTGAAAAAACCATGAACAATTCCTGAGCAGCCTCACCAGTGTTCTGACAGCTACTGTGTGTCCCTCTAGCCGCCATGAAGAACTGGTGGAGGGGCTGATTCCCCCAGTCCTGGTTGAGAAACACAGTGTGGGTAACCCGGAGATAAGCTCATCTGTCTTCTTCTGGGATAAGAATGTTGCTTCACTTCTTTGCTTTTTATTCAGTTGAATACTGTTATAGATATCGGACAGTGTACACTTCACTGATACTACAATTTCCTTGGTTGGGGGAATATTGAGGATCAATCTATTATCAACACAGACCTGATTCAAAAGGACATTTAAAAAAAGACAGCATCAGTTATTACTGTATAACAGTAGGCACTTTCCTCAGGAGAAACTTTGCCTCTTTGAAAAATGATTTTTGTATTTGTTGGTCGAATTGAAACAAATCTTACATGAAATAGTTCAGCCTTTTCAATAGGGATCCACTCTGTTTTCTTTTGGGGCTTTTAACTTAAAGAGTTTTAGTTATCTGAGGACGAAAATCAGATAATAGAAGACTTAGTGCACGGAACACAAGAGACTGACACCTTCACTCTCTTTTCTTCTTTCTAATCACAGGTGCACCGAACAGCCTATGAATATCATCAATACTAAAGGTTCATCCCTCTGCTGAGGAAAAATCCAGTTGATGAAGGTGGGGCTCTCTTGCTGGCTCTGGTTGGAGAGGCACCCTGATCCTGGGTCCCTACAGGCAGTGAGGGCTGGGGATTGATCTCCTAGGAAAGCAAGAGATTGATCTCCCAGGAAAATGTGCTAGCCACGTTCTAGTGTCTCCAGATGCAATTGCATCAGTTAGATGGTTGGGATCAGTGAATGACGGTGTTTGGAGGTGGACATGTGTTAAATCCACATAGTGTGATTGTGAATCTTCCTGTCTGCATATTTCCTCAGGAGATATTTCCTGCAGCACACACACAAGGGATAGTGGCAACCGAGAACTCAAAGTAAACTTGATTGTTAGCCTAGTGACCATGACTCTTGCTGATACTCTCTTACCTAGCTGATTTAGAGACTGCCAGTGTTCACTCTGTGCTTTGTATAATCAACTTATGACCCCTATGATTATGGACAGGCACCGACCAAGTGGACATGCATACACTGTATAGAAAATACATATTGATAGGGAAGTATGGTTTTATTGATAGTGGCTATATTTAAATGGTAGAAATTCAATATTATCAATCTTGTATATTTGATTTTCTTTAAGACAAGTAATTAGTTATAAATACAGTAGCATACTTTGCCCAGGATTGAATTTACTCCTCTAATGGAGTTTGCTTTTAATCGAGTACAAAGTCTCAAAGAAAACATGATGAGTAGAGTAGCAGCAACTGTGGATCCTGGAGGAAGAGTGATCTGGGAAAAAAAACTGGAAATAGAACTGCCATATGACCCAGGAATCCCACTTCTGGGCATACACACTGAGGAAACCAGATNAACTGTGGATCCTGGAGAAAGAGTGATCTGAGAAAAATCAAGAGACAGTGGCAATTTAGCAGGAGCTCAAAATAAGCAGGAGGAGTCGTGGGTCTCTTTCATTGAACAGTAGCATTCATTTTAGAGTTTTCCTTTTTTAGATTGAGTATTTCCTTTTGATTAGGTTCCTTTTAGCTAGAAAACCAAAGCTCTATTTTCATTTCTTTCCTCCTCTCCTTCACTTTCCTTCCTCCTCTGAAGAGGATGGATGAACACAAGTTTAGCCCATGCTTATTAACCTCCCTCATTCATACACACCACCCCATGTCCACACAAAGAGAAAACCCCCTGTATGGTTCCTGAGTAGCCTCACCAGCGTTTTAACAGCTACTCTGTGTCCCTCTAGCTTTCATTGAGGTGAGGACCTGCCAGTCGCCTGCCTTGTGACAGGACAGAAGAGACTCCGTGTGTCTCCAAGGCAAGCTGTTGGAAGCCGTTTGCCTGTTTTTTCCTGGTCTGAGATAGAAATATTGGTTCATTTCTTTTTTAATAGAATTAATTATATGTATTTGTGGGTGTTCGTTCCAGATATAGATGATTCCCTTGATTGGGAGAGTGTGGAGTGAATGACTCATTACCAACTCATGATGCCAGGCCATAAGGCATTAAAATTGTTAGCATTCCTTACACTCTAGAGAGTACAGAGTTTTCTCTCCTGGAGCAACTTTTCCTCTAGGAAAAGAATTATGTAGTTTCCAACGTACATGGACTTGGAAACACCATCCTCCGGGAAAAGGTCTTGCCTTTTATCCTGAGTATGTGTGCTCTGATCTTGCTGGATTCCCTGGACTCCACCATTGTTTCTCATCAGGTTTTCTGCTTTCACCAAATGAAGCAAAGACTGTGCATCACTGTGATCTTATCCTCATAGTTCTCTTCTGTACTTGCAGGTGGCCCTTTCAGCGTATGCATTCTAGAATCATTTGCTTGGGGAGGAAATGCTTTGTTGATGAGAAAGTTGGGGCTTTCAGCCAGCTTTAGTGTAGAGGTGAAACTGATTGGTAATTCCTGAAGGAAATGAGCACAGGGGCCCTGTTGACAGAAAGCAATACAAGTAAAGTGATATGGCCTTACTGTAGTTCCAGGAAGACGGTGCACTATGGTTAGCAGTGCAGTTTTGTGTCCATGGGACTGGGTGTGTCTCTATGTGTAATGAGTAGTATGATTTTTTGTGTATGAATTTTTTGTATTGTGAGTTCCTTGATTTATGTCACCCTTAAACATCACTGTTACTGGTGTCAACTTCCCCCCCAAAATGCCCATCACCTTTGCACCATGAATGAATATGTATATAAAAATTAAAGTATATACATTCTCTGTATACATTGATTTTATACCAAGTGAACATTCTTTAACCTGGAAGACAAATTCCATCACTACCCAGGGAAATGTTTACAGGATTATTTTTAATTTTTATTTATTTTTTATTAGTGAGATCTTTTTTGCAGCACAGGCTTTTCTCTACTTGTGGAGAATGAGGTCTGCTCTCTAGTTGCGGTGTGTAGGCTTCTCACTGTGGTGGCTTCTTCCTTGCAGAGCATGGGTTCTAGGGCTCCTGGGCTTCAGTAGTTTTGGCATGTGGGCTCAGTAGTGCTGCTCCTGGGCTCTAGAGCACTGGCTCAGTAGTTGTGGGGCACGGGCTTAGTTGGTCTGTGGCATGCGCAATCTTCCCAGATCAGGGATCAAGCCCAAATCTCCTGCATTGGCAGGCGGATTCTTAAACCACTGAGCCACCAGGAAGTCCTACTGGCTCCTTAATGAACAAAACTGCATTTCAGAATGCCCCTTATTGGGTCAGTCATAGCTTCATTTGATAGTAAATCTCACCTCTTAGTAGGTCTTATGGCATTTTGACTGGTCATGGTTCATCACTCTGCCACTTGCCTCATTCAAACTCTTTGCTATTAGAGCCTCAGAATGAACCCTTCCCCCTCAGTGAGACACCTGGTACTGGGGGCCTCCTTCCTTCTGCAGGGAGCCCCTGGTAGTACCTGCGTGCCACACCTGGTTCTAGAGCAATCTGAGAAAGGAGGAGCCTCCAGGTGTAGATGGAGGAAGTTCACTCCAGCTTTGCCTCAAGCTTTGATGTGTCTTTTCAGCCCTGCTAACTCCATGTACTGTGTTGTATAGCAAGTCTCTAGAACTTTTCTATGTTGCAACTAAAATTTTATAACCGTTGGACATACACGCTCCATGTCAACCTCCTCCCAGCTGTTGAAACCACCCTTCTACTCTCTGATCTCTGAGTTTTGCTTTAGATACCTCAGTTAAAGGAAATCATGCAGTATTTTTCATCCTGCGACTGGCTTATTTCACTCTTACTAATGTCATCCAGCTTCATCCAGATTGCTGCCAATGACAGAATTTCCTTCTATTTTTTATTTTTTTTTTCTTTTTCCATTTATTTTTATTAGTTGGAGGCTAATTACTTTACATCATTGCAGTGGTTTTTGTCATACACTGGCATGAATTAGCCATGGATTTACATGTATTCCCCATCCCGGTCCCCCCTCCCACCTCCCTCTCCACCCCATCCCTCTGGGTCTTCCCAGTGCACCAGGCC